ATACACATACATACAGTATAGAGTTAATTGTTCCTGTTTATTCAGATGTGTTAAGTATACATACACACATACATACATTAAGTACATACAGTACATACTGTACATACTGTACATACAGTACATACATACAGTACATACATACTGTACATACATTACATACAGTACATACAGTACATACTGTACATACATTACATACAGTACATACTGTACATACAGTACATACAGTACATACTGTACATACAGTACATACAGTACATACTGTACATACAGTACATACAGTACATACAGTATACATACATACATACATACATACAGTACAAAGAACAGTACATAGAGTACATATTGTACATACATACAGTACATACATACATACATACAGTATACATACATACAGTACATACAGTATACAGTACATACAGTATACAGTACATACAGTACATACATACAGTACAAAGAACAGCACATACATACATACAGTATACATACATACATACAGTACATACAGTATACATACAGTACATACTGTACATACAGTACATACAGTACATACAGTATACATACATACAGTACATAAAGTACATACAGTATACAGTACATACAGTATACATACATACAGTACATATATGTCAGTTACGTCTCTGAATACAGTCTGTGTAACTTTACTGTAGTTGTTACTGTAAATGTCTGCACAGGTCGTGTATATTTGTACATACATATTGTACATATTTATACACATATATATGTATATGTACAGGTGGTGTATATTTATACACATATATATGTATATGTACAGGTGGTGTATATTTGTACATATATATATGTATATGCACAGGTCGTGTAGAGTGAGCTCAGAGTCGTGCTCCAGTGTGACTGAGATCTGACTTTTTTACAGTGAAAACACAGAGTAAACTTTGACAGTGAAAACATGACTAAGTCGTGTGACTGTTGTTCAGACTCAGTGTTGTCAGGACTCATTATTCTGAGACACAGACAGTTTCATCGACATGAAGACTTGCTTTTGAGGAATTCACTTTTCATTTTGAGAAAGTGATGCACTTTTGCAGGTTATCCACCAGGTTTTGCAGTTTGTTCTAATTGTTCTGAGAAATGCACCAACTTTTGTGCAAATGTGAAGAATGAGAAATGCACCAAAGCGACTGAGAAAAACTGTGATTGGTTTTCAATCAGAGAAAGGTCACTGCTTTGGAGATGATGCTATGGCACAGATAAGAGCAGAAAACACCAGGCTCAGTGTAAAACTGTGACTTCTGACGTTTGCAGATCTGTTTTCTAACACACATTACAGTGTCAGTACTGTCTCTGTGGGGAAACCTTAAGTAAAAGGTACCTTTCCTTTAAAATGGGGCTCTTACTGTGTCCACGCAGCACCAAATGTCAAACTAAACATAATATTGCAAATAAACAAGGGACTCTTTTCCACAAGGACTTTATCCCGTTCACCATCTGACCCCGTTTCCCCCTCATTGGGCACATGGCAGCCCTCTCTTTGAACCAGAAACATGGACCTGTTTATAGCTGTGTCAGACACGGAGGCCGCAGCATCAAAGAGGCATCTATGGACGTGTAGTTTGGGGAAAGACGAAGCTAATGGCTCCTATTGTTGGGTGACATCATGGATACATCTGAGCCACATGCAGCCGCCGGTGGAGAGGACGCGGACCACAGCTAGGATCTGGAGGAGCTGCTTTTAGCTGACCGCCTCCTGACCCTGCCCTCCACGTGGCCCTGCTCTCACCCACTTGAATTAAAGACATTGTAGTCGTTGGCACAGGCCTTACCTTCCCCTGTCTCACCACACGCTGTGCTCCCAGGGCTGGGCTCGCACTCAGACTTGTGCTGACAACCCACAGAAATCCTGCTTCACTAAACTATAATTACAGCAGCTCGGGCTGTGACTGATGCCGGCCACTGCAGACAATCAATCCTATCATTATAAATATATCAAGCTGCAAACTCTAAACGTTTCAAACACAATCATTAAGTACGGCTAATGATGCAGGTCGCTCTCAAAGGTAGTATTTTGCAGTTATTTACACAGAAGGCCGTCGTTCATATCTTCCAAAGGTGCCTCATGGCAGAACGAGCAGCGGCTCTAGTGTGCGTGCTGCTCACAGGTCAGAGTAAGTGTAACTGTGACAGCCTGTTGCTCATGGGGCTTTAGTTCTTCTCTGTTGTATAATGTATCTGGCGCCCGTCCTGTGTTGTCTTGTGCGGTCTCTGTCCAGTTCCCATGCAGCCTCTCCTGCTGACCGCCGGCTGACCTGTGCGGCTGGTGGCACAGCAGTGAACCTGGGTTCAAAACGCTGCCAAGTTCACAGTGGCTGAGTGTCCATCAGATAACGACCTCAGAGCTACGGGGCCCTGTGGGGGACATAATTAGGCCAGGCTGTTTGTCTCCCATTAATTTTCTGCCACATAACTTCACCCCATTCTCTGCTGTCAATGAAGGCGGCGGTTTGAGGCCGGACGTGCCTGATGACCTGACCACTGACCACAGCCCTGACCCCTCTAATGATGCCAACTTAGAGCTCTCGGATCAGATTGAAGCTGTGTGTGCTTCTGTTTCGTGGTATAAAGAGAAGGAGTGAGTCGAGGTAAAGCGCTTTACATTTGTTGTGGGCGTTTGTCTCTCACTCCGCACAGAGATGGAGCAAGGTCAAATACAGGAGGCTCATACAGACCTATTGTACAGCACAGACCAAAAGTTTGGACACGCCTCATTCAAAGAGTTCTTTATTTTCATGATTATGAAAATTGTATATTCACACTGAGGGCATCAAACCTATGAATGAACTCATGTGGAATTATGTCCGTGGTAAAAAAGTATGAACCAAGTGAAAATATGTGTTATATTCTGGTTCTTCAAAGTAGCTCCTTTTGCTCTGATGCTGCTTCACTCTTGGCATTCTCTGGATGAGCTTCAACAGGACCTGAAATGGTCTCCAACAGTCTGGAAGGAGTTCCCATGATGCTTAGCACTTGTTGGCCCCTTCACTCTGTGAAGGACACCCTCTCTCCTTCACTGAGTTCTTTTCATGACTATTGCTGTAGATCCACACCAGGCTGTGTGACGGCTGTTTCACCAATAAGGAGAGAGATGGTTCTGGGCCACATGACCTCCACAGTCACCGGACCTGAACCCAGTTGGGAGGTCACGTGGCCCAGCACCATCTCTCTCAAACAGCCCTTACACAGCCTGGTGTGGATCTAAAGCAATAGTCATGAAAAGAACTCAGTAAAGGAGAGAGGGTGTCCACACTTTTGCTCTGTAGTGTATGTTTTTAGTGGTAGAGGAACCGGAGCACCCGGAGGAAACCTACACAGACATGTAAACTCTACTCAAAAAGACCCTGCTCCGACCTAGAGTCAAACCCAGGACATTCTTGATGAGAAGCGAGAGTGCTAACCACTCAGCCACCTGAGTAAAGCTGCAGATGCAGGTGAAACGTGGGAAAGTAGATACAGGTTTAAATGTTCATGTGTTTCTGAACTATGTAGTACAGAAATACTATGTACTATGTCCAAGAACATCTCATTTTCTGTTATATTTGTGTCTTTACTGAGATCACAAAGGTTTGATGGACCTCTGTGGTCTGAGTCATACGTTTGTTTCACGTAAACAGACTGAACGATTTACTAGTTCTCAGAGTGTCACCTGCAGCCGTGGATCAGGACTTTAACTTTGACGGGGTCAGACCAGAAAGACCAGAGGGACCAGTGAGAGACCCAAGAAAGACCAGAGAGAGAGACTCGAGAGAGAGAGAGAGAGAACCGAGAGACCAGAAAGAGAGACTCGAGAGACCAGAGAGAGATCCCAGAGAGACCAGAGAGAGATCCCAGAGAGACCCAAGAGAGACCAGAGAGAGAGACTCGAGAGACCAGAGAGAGACTCGAGAGACCAGAGAGAGACCAAAGAGACCAGAGAGAGAGCGACGAGTGAGACCAGAGAGAAAGACCCGAGAGAGAGACTCGAGAGAGACCAGAGAGACCAGAGAGAGAGACCCGAGAAAGACCAGAGAGACCACACTGTAAACCCTAACTTCAATCCTACTTCAGATATCAAAGTTATTTTAAATAGATTTTTCCCAGTAAGTAGATATTACTCATTTATTGTTAGTTTATTTAAAGCTTGCCTATGTCACTCAGGGTTTTCTTTGAATTGAACTGTTTCTGTTCAAGTAAGCCTCACTTTTGACATTTTGACGTGTAGACTCTTTAATGAGGCAGGTGTGACAACGGCAGTGTGGCCTGGTGGCTGAGTGGTTAGCACCATTACCTCTCAACTACAGGGTTCTGAGTGCGAATCCCGGTCGGAGCGTAAGTAGAAATTTAAACTTTATTGCAATCACTTGAGTTACTTGGTAATATCAAGTAAAGGATGTACTCGAGGAATTCAAGTGAAGTTAATACGCAATTTATTTCCATGGTTTTTTCAAGTAAACTTTACTTGTCAGGGTTTACAGAGGGAGACCCGAGAAAGACCAGAGAGAGACCCGAGAGAGACCAGAGAGAGACCCGAGAGAGACCAAAGAGACCAGAGAGAGACCAGAGAGAGACTAGAGAGAGACCAGAGAGAGACCAGAGAGAGAGACCAGAGAGACCAGAGAGAGACCAGAGAGAGACCAGAGAGAGACCAGAGAGAGACCAGAAAGAGACCAGAGAGAGACCAGAGAGAGACCAGAGAGAGACCAGAGAGAGACCAGAGAGAGACCAGAGAGAGACCCGAGAGAGACCAAAGAGACCAGAGAGAGACCAGAGAGAGACCAGAGAGAGACCAGAGAGAGACCAGAGAGAGAGACCAGAGAGACCAGAGAGAGACCAGAGAGAGACCAGAGAGAGACCAGAAAGAGACCAGAGAGAGACCAGAGAGAGACCAGAGAGAGACCAGAGAGAGACCAGAAAGAGACCAGAGAGAGACCAGAGAGAGACCAGAAAGAGACCAGAGAGAGACCAGAGAGAGACCAGAGAGAGAGACCAGAGAGACCAGAGAGAGACCAGAGAGAGACCAGAGAGAGACCAGAGAGAGACCAGAGAGAGACCAAAGAGAGACCAGAAAGAGGCCAGAGAGAGACCAGAGAGAGACCAGAGAGAGAGCGACGAGTGAGACCAGAGAGAAAGACCCGAGAGAGAGACTCGAGAGAGACCAAAGAGACCAGAGAGAGACCAGAGAGAGACTAGAGAGAGACCAGAGAGAGACCAGAGAGAGAGACCAGAGAGAGACCAGAGAGAGAGACCAGAAAGACCAGAGAGAGACCAGAGAGAGACCAGAGAGAGACCAGAAAGAGACCAGAGAGAGACCAGAGAGAGACCAGAGAGACACCAGGAAGAGGCCAGAGAGAGACCAGAGAGAGACCAGAGAGAGACCAGAGAGAGACCAGAAAGAGGCCAGAGAGAGACCAGAGAGAGACCAGAGAGAGACCAGAGAGAGAGAGAAAATCTTTATTTGCAGCTGTGAGCGTTTAGTTTTGCTACATTTCATTTGTATGAACCAGTTTCCAAATGTAAGATTGAGTTCTAGTCATTTCTGAGTCCTGGTTTCAGAGTCCTGGTCTCAGAACCCTGGTGCAAAAGTTACAGCAAAGTTTTTTTCTGACAGAAACGGAAAGACAAGCTGCGGCGAGAGTGTTCAGTGACCTTTCTTAAAACGTAAATTCGCAAAGAACGCGAAGATGGCCTCCGGTTGCCAGGACGACCACGTCTGACAGAGTAAGTGATGAAGGCACATGGCGCAGCTGCAGATCAGCGAGCACTGTTCGAGGGCTGCGCCAAAATTCACCAGGTTCATTTTGAATTATTTTTAAATGAAAAAGCTACTTCAGTAATAAACAGGACATTTGTTTGTTGAGAGAAAATTCTTAGTAATGATGTTTTGGGTTCATTAAATAGAAAAGAATGAATGTAAAATAGCAGCTTCTCTGGGCAATGACTCCCGATTCATTCAAACTAACAACAGACCGGTTTGGAAAGTCAGAGACAGACTTGTCCAGACGTTTGTGAAGTGAGAAGCAGTCCTCTGTGTCCATGTGCCGGGCCAGAATAACTCAGACTCAAGTCTCTGTTTATCCAATCCTTTCTGAACACATGTGCACATCAGTGCTGCTGGTGATTGGGTCCAAGAGTCATTTGTACAGTGCACAAATCAATAAAAACATTTCTATACAGATTTGTGACTCTTTGATCTCAAGGTATCATTAATAAGTGTCTATATTTGAAGTTTTATACCTAAAATAAGGAAATAAAAGACCAATGGAACCGCACTTCTTAAAACATAATGTAAAACTGATTTCATGAATTACAAATGTATCTTTTTATTTCCTTTCAGCCTTAATCTATTGTTTTGTTTGTATTTTTAGCTTTAACTTGAGAATGGGCTGCGGCTCGTGTTGATGCTGGGTCCTGTCAAACAGAAAACACATTCTTAATATTGTCCATCGATGAAACGAGACCAGTTCAGACAAAAACAAACAACACAGTAGTTCTTCTAGTCTTTACTGTATAGCAGCTACTCATAAACACAGGATCCTATGTACAGACTCCTTACAGCGGAGAAAGTGCTATCTCCTTCCATTAACGCTCCATGGCACAGTTCACAGCGCATCAGCTTCAAGAACAACACCTAATATAAACTTAAGGATAATAGTATTAATAATAATGTCTCTGCCTTCTAACAAAAGCCTCCATTTGCACTACATGGGCAGAGAGGTTAGTTTTCTATCTCAAACTGCAGCAAAACAATGTTACAGATGGCAAACATTACATGGTACATCTGCATTTTAAATACAGCTTATTCATATCACTACTTCATTTGATACACACATAAACACGTATAACTCATTCAGAGAAAGTATTTTGAACATATTGTGTGAAAAGTCAAGTGCAAGTTCCATCGAGGGGTTTGTGGAGGATCGCAGACTGTCAACAAGTTCAGACAGTGGTCCAAAGCTAACGCATAACCACACGCTAACAGCGCCCAGGCCTCCGTGGTTAAAGGAAAGACATAGTAAAGCTACAGTGAGCACATAGTTGGAATAGTTTGTGGAATGGCTCGCGTTTGAAGTGGTCTGTCATCTAGGAACCATGTCAAGGGTCAGGCCAAGTCTTGGTAACGTAAAGCTAGAGCGCCGCAGACTCTAATCTTTTAATAAGTTAAATACATTTATTGGAGAACGTCTGAAAGACTTGAGCAGAGAGGGTCTTGCTGGTTCTGACACTGGGAAATGTCTGGGAGCGGAGAGACAAGCTGCAGCGAGAGTGTTCAGTGACCTTTCGCGAAATGTAAATCCGAAAGGAACGCAAATATGGCCTCAAGTCCAGATTGACAACCGCCGCGTCCGACAGGAAGTGCAGAGCCGTGGAAGAGTTTCTGACTGAGAGGATGAAGTAGTGAAGGCACATGGGGCAGCAGAGAGGGCAGCAGAAACAGCAACCACAAGAGATGCTCAGATGTCCTGTTTCTAGAGTCACAGACAGACTTTGCGTCTAAAGGGAGGAGTTGGGTCGGAATCTGACGTGAAGTCCGTTGACCGGGTGCACGATGGGCACAGTCTGCATCTGTGGGAAGTCCTCCGTGGCCAGTGTCCATGTGCTCGACCCCATCAGCTCCACCGCCAGAGTCTTAAGGATGATCTGAGCCAACTCTTTCCCCACGCAGCTCCGTACTCCGCCTCCAAACGGGACGTAGCTGAAGCGCGAGGCCCGGCTCTCCTCCCGGGCTGGTCCGAAACGGTCCGGGTCGAACTGTTCTGGATTCAAGAAGACGGCGGCGGTTTCGTGGGTGTCGCGGATGCTGTACATGACGCTCCAGCCTTTGGGGATCTGGTAGCCCTGCGAGGGACAAAGATGGGGAAAGAACAGCAATTAGAGAGGTCCAATGTATTCAATGTATATTTGTACAGCCATAAAACAGTAGTTATCTTTGACGAACACAGGAAATACAATGATAAAAAACATAGAGCCATTGGTCCATAAGGAGCAGAGACCACTGTCCTTAAATGTTGTTGAATGTGAAGTGTCCTGGATCATCTCTGGCCTTAGACCCTCCAGAGGTAGTATTGATATTGAGCCTTTACTTTGATATTCAAGGCTTGGAAACTTTAAAATATATTGATGTGTGATGTGTGTAGTGGGAACTGCAACCCACAATGCAAATCCACACAGGTTTCATTCATTTGACTGCAAAAATAATAAAAATTCAGGACACACACACACACTCAAAACAAAAAATCTCAGAGCAGGAAAGAAGAGTGCAAAGCTGAAACTAATAGACGTATGTTTGGAGGAAGAGGTGAGTTTTTTTAATTGTTCTTTTAAAGGAGTTCAGTGTGTCCTAGTTTCTGAGGTGAGGATCTTTGTATCTATCTATCTATCTATCTACAGTATCTATCCATTCATCCATCCATCCATCTATCTTTGTGAGCTGTGTGAGAGAGACTTACATCCAGCTCGAACGTCTGCAGAGCGGTGCGGTACCCCCCTGACACCGGGGGCAGGTACCGGAGCACCTCTCTGACCACACAGTCCACGTAGCGCAGCCGGCTCAGCTTGTCCAGGCTCAGGTAAGGGATGTGGGACAGGGGGACCTCAGGCTGGGGCCCTCTGTCAGGCTGGGGCCCTCTGGCAGGCTGGGGCCCTCTGGCAGGCTGGGGCCCTCTGGCAGACTGGGGCCCTCTGGCAGACTGGGGCCCTCTGTCAGACTGGGGCCCTCTGGCAGGCTGGGGCCCTCTGGCAGACTGGGGCCCTCTGGCAGACTGGGGCCCTCTGGCAGACTGGGGCCCTCCATTCAGAAGGCCACTGCTCTCAGATAGCCCTGTCAAGTTAGCAAACATAGTTAGGGGAAAGATATTTCAACTAAAGGTTGGTCTGTCTGTCTGTGTGTGTGTGTGTGTCTGTGTTTCTGTCTGTCTGTGTGTGTGTGTCTGTGTTTCTGTCTGTGTGTGTGTGTGTGTCTGTCTCTGTCTGTTTCTCTGTCTGTCTGCCTGTCTGTCTGTGCTTCTGTCTGCCTGTCTGTCTGTGCTTCTGTCTGTCTGCCTGTCGCTGTGTGTGAGTGTGTGTCTGTGTTTCTGTCTGTGTGTGTGTGTGTGTCTGTCTCTGTCTGTCTCTCTGTCTGTCTGCCTGTCTGTCTGTGCTTCTGTCTGTCTGCCTGTCGCTGTGTGTGAGTGTGTGTCTGTCTGTGTGTGTGTGTGTGAGTGTGTGTCTGTGTTTCTGTCTGTGTGTGTGTGTGTGTGTGTGTCTGTCTCTGTCTGTCTACCTGTCTGTCTGCCTGTCTGTCTGTGCTTCTGTCTGTCTGCCTGTCGCTGTGTGTGAGTGTGTGTCTGTCTGTGTGTGTGTGTGTGTGTGTGTGTGAGTGTGTGTCTGTCTGTGTGTGTGTGTGTGTGTGTTTGTCTGTCTGTCTGTGTGTGTGAGTGTGAGTGTGAGTGTGTTTATGTATGTATGTTTGTGTGTCTGTCTACCTGATTCCTAAAATACACCTTACCCTCTGGGTCTTGGGGGTCCGCAGAGACAGCGCCATGGGTCTGATGGGCTTCGGACCCCAGACCCTCGGCCTCCAGCTCGGCCCGCGCTCGCTCCACCACCGCGGGGTGTCGCAGCAGCTGCAGGATAAGAGACGTGGAGGCACTGGCCGTGGTCGAGTGAGCGGCGAAGATCAGCTCCACCGCCGTCTCCTGAGGCCAACCACAATTACATCACATTTATTCTTCTGCATCACAACAGTGGTAATCTTTACAAAGATGTTTATTCTCCAACTCAGATCAGAGAATCAAACCCCATTAAACACAGAACCTTTGGGCCGTAAGGGGCAGAGACCACTGTCCATGTGGCAGGTTTTTCTACTGAACCACTGAGTATGTTTCAGAGAAGAGCTGTAACCAGTTCACTAATGAATCATAATTAATCAGTTCTTGAAACAGAGTTAGGGTTATTCTTTTCATTTGAACAAACTGTACATTTGTTTTTGAATGTTTCACAAGATTCAGACACGGCGCTAATCTCGTTTACTTTTTAATGTTCCGGAAAGTCCTAAGTGTCTCTGAAACAGATGTTGTTTCGAGTTTTACAAATGTTTGTTTTCTTCTTTTTCTATCCGAGATGTTGCTGCAGGAGGCGCAAGAATGCAACCCTCTTTCTCAAAAGTTTGGACCCCCCTGAACTGAAATAAATGTAGATATGAATTAGCCGATAACGGATGATCATGGTAATGACCTCATGCAGAACCTGCAGATACAGAGTTTCTCTGCGTGACACAAAATGATCCAGTTACATCCAGTGTTTTTCTAAACCTTCAGTCCGATAAAAAAGACTCTTATCTAAATGTGTGGCACATGTCAGCCAGAGGGGGGCGATGGTGCGCCCAGTGTTTATGAGCTACAGTCAGGCAAACTTCGCTTGATGAAGAAAAGTCTGACATCTTTAAAACGAGACCTCACAGTTCCTGAGTCATGAAGCTGAAGCGCAAAGCAAAGCGGGCAGTTTAAAAGCAGCTACTTCCTGATAATCAGCGCTTCCTGAGGCTCTTAACACCCAGCACCTCCTCAAGCTGCTGGCTCCTGCTCTGGCTCCTGCTCTGGCTCCTGCTCTGGCTCCTGCTCTGGCTCCTGCTCTGGCTCCTGCGCTGGCTCCTGCTCCTCCTGCGCCCCATTCACACCATACTCTAGCCACCACCAGTGCTTGACCCCGGGGAGTCTGAGATCATCTACAGCAGCTGTGATCTCGCCTCTGCAAGTGTCACTGCCGGGGTCAATGTGCCAAACAAATAAATATTTTCATGCATTAATGTTTCTGTCTTGGTCTCTTCAGATTGAATTACCTTTGTGTCAAAGGGCATTATAGAAACAGAAATAATGAAACTATGGTCAGAAATATCTGACTTTTGAGAAAAACTTGTCAATGTTTTCTGTGAAAGAGTTTCTGCGAAAAGAAGTAGAAGAAGAAGCTGAACTACAGGTGTGCTTTGACATGAACCCTCCGTCCAAACGACCGACGACTCCCGAGTCTGTTTCCTCATGTTCTAAATGTCTGATTTTTTTAATCTGGTGCTGATAGTTCTGTCTTCTGTTGTGGTTCTCAGGTCTGGACTAACGGCGGAGGTCTCTCTCACCTTGAGCTCCTGCAGCGTCAGCGTGTGGCCGTGCTCTTTGGCGCTCGACAGCATGTAGTCGAAGGCATCGTTATATTCCCCCTCCGTCTGCGGGCGCTCCATCTTCTCCTCGATGATCCTCTCCATGTGAGCGTGAAGGATCTCTCTGGCCTTTATGCCCTGGACCACAGGAAGGAAGACTTAGAGTTATGAGCTGGACCACAGAGTTAGAGTTATGCCCTGGACCACAGAGTTAGAGTTATGCCCTGGACCACAGGGTTAGAGTTATGCCCTGGACCACAGAGTTAGAGCTATGTCCTGGACCACAGAGTTAGAGTTATGCCCTGGACCACAGAGTTAGAGTTATGCTCTGGACCACAGAGTTAGAGCTATGTCCTGGACCACAGAGTTAGAGCTATGTCCTGGACCACAGAGTTAGAGTTATGCCCTGGACCACAGAGTTAGAGTTATGTCCTGGACCACAGAGTTAGAGTTATGCCCTGGACCACAGAGTTAGAGTTATGCCCTGGACCACAGAGTTAGAGTTATGCCCTGGACCACAGCGTTAGAGCTATGTCCTGGACCACAGAGTTAGAGCTATGTCCTGGACCACAGAGTTAGAGCTATGTCCTGGACCACAGAGTTAGAGCTATGTCCTGGACCACAGAGTTAGAGTTATGCCCTTGACCACAGAGTTAGAGCTATGTCCTGGACCACAGAGTTAGAGCTATGTCCTGGACCACAGAGTTAGAGCTATGTCCTGGACCACAGAGTTAGAGTTATGCCCTGGACCACAGAGTTAGAGCTATGTCCTGGACCACAGAGTTAGAGTTATGTCCTGGACCACAGAGTTAGAGTTATGCCCTGGACCACAGAGTTAGAGTTATGCCCTGGACCACAGAGTTAGAGTTATGCCCTGGACCACAGCGTTAGAGCTATGTCCTGGACCACAGAGTTAGAGCTATGTCCTGGACCACAGAGTTAGAGCTATGTCCTGGACCACAGAGTTAGAGCTATGTCCTGGACCACAGAGTTAGAGTTATGCCCTTGACCACAGAGTTAGAGCTATGTCCTGGACCACAGAGTTAGAGTTATGTCCTGGACCACAGAGTTAGAGTTATGCCCTGGACCACAGAGTTAGAGTTATGCCCTGGACCACAGCGTTAGAGCTATGTCCTGGACCACAGAGTTAGAGCTATGTCCTGGACCACAGAGTTAGAGCTATGTCCTGGACCACAGAGTTAGAGTTATGCCCTGGACCACAGAGTTAGAGTTATGCCCTGGACCACAGAGTTAGAGTTATGCCCTGGACCACAGCGTTAGAGTTATGCCCTGGACCACAGAGTTAGAGTTATGCCCTGGACCACAGCGTTAGAGTTATGCCCTGGACCACAGCGTTAGAGTTATGCCCTGGACCACAGAGTTAGAGTTATGCCCTGGACCACAGCGTTAGAGTTATGTCCTGGACCACAGAGTTAGAGCTATGTCCTGGACCACAGAGTTAGAGTTATGCCCTGGACCACAGAGTTAGAGTTATGTCCTGGACCACAGAGTTAGAGTTATGCCCTGGACCACAGCGTTAGAGTTATGCCCTGGACCACAGAGTTAGAGTTATGCCCTGGACCACAGAGTTAGAGTTATGTCCTGGACCACAGAGTTAGAGTTATGCCCTGGACCACAGCGTTAGAGTTATGTCCTGGACCACAGAGTTAGAGCTATGTCCTGGACCACAGAGTTAGAGTTATGCCCTGGACCACAGAGTTAGAGTTATGTCCTGGACCACAGAGTTAGAGTTATGCCCTGGACCACAGCGTTAGAGTTATGCCCTGGACCACAGAGTTAGAGCTATGTCCTGGACCACAGAGTTAGAGCTTGATCGGTTGTCTCCACGCCGGCACCAGCTGACAGAGCGCTCGCTGCTGCCTCCGGTGGTGAACAAGTGGAAATGGGTCATTTTAACATGTGTGAAAGACAGTTGCCGTGGTGACTGACTTTTAGAAAGGTTGCAGAAAACCCCCCAGATGTTGTTTGTGGCAAATGCACCAAAAATTATCACTGTATTTGGTTAAATGTATTAAAGTGTGAGATGTTTTGTGAACACACCGTCATCTTTACCAAAGAATGTGTGTATATTTCCATCTGAGTCACTATTTGACTGTTTGGGTTGAGAGCTGAGTGGGAATGAGGAGCACACAGCACAAGAACAGTGAACATTAACTCTATAAAGATCAAATCTACAACTCTTTGGGGCGACAGTGGCTCAGTGTGTAGAGCATTGGCCTTTGAGCCTGAAGGTTGTGGGTTCGAGCCCACTTCAAGACCTACTTCATGACTCCCACTGATGACTGCTGTCGTTGTGTCCTTGGGCAAGACATTTCACCCCACTTTGCCTGAAACTCCAGCTCAAAGATCAAAGCTCCAGTGCACTCAGCACCTGCAGGAGGATCAGTGAGGGGCTGGTGCTCTGACTGCCACCCCCCCGACCCAGAAATGGATTAAGGGGAAGAAAATGGATGGATCTATAACTCTTTAAGCTAAATAGAAGCAAGTATAAAACAAAGCCGGAATCACAGCCGCCGCCTCCTGGGCGCCAGTCCGTTATGAGATATACAGTGTTTTTGTCAAAGACCGTATATCTTGCACACATAAGTATTATTGCACATCTTGCACACATAAGTATTATTGCACATCTTGCACACATAAGTAGTATTGCACATCTTGCACACATAAGTAGCATTGCACATCTTGCACACATAAGTAGTATTGCACATCTTGCACACATAAGTAGTATTGCACATCTTGCACACATAAGTAGTATTGCACATCTTGCACACATAAGTATTATTGCACATCTTGCACACATAAGTAGTATTGCACATCTTGCACACATAAGTAGTATTGCACATCTTGCACACATAAGTAGCATTGCACATCTTGCACACATAAGTAGTATTGCACATCTTGCACACATAAGTATTATTGCACATCTTGCACACATAAGTAGTATTGCACATCTTGCACACATAAGTAGTATTGCACATCTTGCACACATAAGTAGCATTGCACATCTTGCACACATAAGTAGTATTGCACATCTTGCACACATAAGTATTATTGCACATCTTGCACACATAAGTAGTATTGCACATCTTGCACACATAAGTAGCATTGCACATCTTGCACACATAAGTAGTATTGCACATCTTGCACACATAAGTAGTATTGCACATCTTGCACACATAAGTAGTATTGCACATCTTGCACACATAATTATAGTATTGCACATCTTGCACACATAAGTAGTATATTGCACATCTTGCACACATAAGTAGTATTGCACATCTTGCACACATAAGTAGTATTGCACATCTTGCACACATAAGTAGCATTGCACATCTTGCACACATAAGTAGTATTGCACATCTTGCACACATAAGTATTATTGCACATCTTGCACACATAAGTAGTATTGCACATCTTGCACACATAAGTAGTATTGCACATCTTGCACACATAAGTAGCATTGCACATCTTGCACACATAAGTATTATTGCACATCTTGCACACATAAGTATTATTGCACATCTTGCACACATAAGTAGTATTGCACATCTTGCACACATAAGTATTATTGCACATCTTGCACACATAAGTATTATTGCACATCTTGCACACATAAGTATTATTGCACATCTTGCACACATAAGTAGTATTGCACATCTTGCACACATAAGTAGTATTGCACATCTTGCACACATAAGTATTATTGCACATCTTGCACACATAAGTATTATTGCACATCTTGCACACATAAGTATTATTGCACATCTTGCACACATAAGTAGTATTGCACATCTTGCACACATAAGTAGTATTGCACATCTTGCACACACACCTTGCGCAGGCCGCAGAGCGGCGCGTCGATGGGCAGTGAGAACAGGTTGTTCATGAGTTGTTCGAAGGTCTGAGCGAGCAGCAGCAGCCGCTCCTCGTCCAGCTGCAGCCCCAGCAGGACGCGCACCGCGATCCGGAACGTCAGGGCCTTGGCGGCGGCGTACACGTCCAGGGGCCCCTCCTCGCTGCACCACTTCTGCAGCTCCAGCTTCACCACCTCCTGGAGCCGGGGCAGGTACGACTCTAGGGCCCCACGGCTGAACACCTTGGCCAGGACCTGCGGCAACAGCACGAGGCGACTTCAGAGAGACTCTGCGGACTCCACTCATTCTTTAATATCAATAATAATAATGAAAATAAACAGAATAAAAATAACAATAATAATAATAGTTATTATTATAATGATAATGATAAAAACAGTGTCGCTTTTCTGGACTCTCGAAGAACGTCACATACACATCTCAGGGACAAGGGCACTGTCCTGAGGCCAGGCCAGGCCAGGCCAGGCCAGGCTGAGGCTGAGGCTGAGGCCAGACTGAGGCTGGACTGAGGCCGGACTGATGCCGGGACTGAGGCCGGACTGAGGCCGGTCTGAGGCCGGGACTGAGGACGGACTGAGGCCGGGACTGAGGCCGGACTGAGGCCGGACTGAGGCCGGGACTGAGGCCGGACTGAGGACGGACTGAGGCCGGGACTGAGGCCGGACTGAGGCCGGGACTGAGGCCGGACTGAGGCCGGGACTGAGGCCGGACTGAGGCCGGGACTGAGGACACGTCTTCATGTGAGACTTTGGAAAGAAACCAACACTGAGGAGGCAAAATACTGAATATCTAACAACTTTAACTTCTGAAAACGAGACGGACTTTGTATCTGCAAAAAGTTGTGTGCATGTGTTTGTGTGTGTCTCTCTGTGTGTGTCTCTGTGTGTGTGTGTGTATGTCTCTCTGTGTGTGTCTCTCTGTGTGTCTATCTGTGTGTGTGTCTCTGTGTGTGTGTCTCTCTGTGTGTCTCTGTGTGTGTCTCTCTCTGTGTGTGCATCTCTCTGTGTGTGTCTCTGTGTGTGCGTCTCTCTGTGTGTGTCTCTCTGTGCGTCTCTGTGTGTGCGTCTCTCTGTGTGTCTCTCTCTGTGTGCGTCTCTCTGTGTGTCTCTGTGTGCGTCTCTCTGTGTGTCTCTCTGTGTGTGTCTCTCTTTGTGTGTGCGTCTCTCTGTGTGCGTCTCTCTGTGTGTCCCTCTCTGTGTGTGCGTCTCTCTGTGTGTGTCTCTCTGTGCATCTCTGTGTGTGCGTCTCTCTGTGTGTGTCTCTCTGTGCGTCTCTGTGTGTGCGTCTCTCTGTGTGTCTCTCTCTATGTGTGCGTCTCTCTGTGTGTGTGTCTCTGTGCATCTCTGTGTGTGCGTCTCTCTGTGTGTGTCTCTCTGTGCGTCTCTGTGTGTGCGTCTCTCTGTGTGTGTCTCTCTGTTCGTCTCTCTCTGTGTGCGTCTCTCTGTGTGCGTCTCTCTCTGTGTGCGTCTCTCTGTGTGTCTCTCTGTGCGTCTTCTGTGTGCGTCTTCTGTGTGCGTCTCTCTCTGTGTGCGTCTCTCTCTGTGTGCGTCTCTCTGTGTCCGTCTCTCTCTGTGTGCGTCTCTCTGTGTGTCACTCTCTGTGTTTGTCTCTCTGTGTGCGTCTCTCTGTGTGCGTCTCTCTCTGTGTGCGTCTCTCTCTGTGTGCGTCTCTCTGTGTGCGTCTCTCTCTGTGTGCGTGTGCGTCTCTGTGTGCGTCTCTCTGTGTGTGTCTCTCTCTGTGTGCGTCTCTCTGTGTGCGTCTCTCTCTGTGTGTGTCTCTCTCTGTGTGTGTCTCTCTCTGTGTGCGTCTCTCTGTGTGCGTCTCTCTCTGTGTGCGTCTCTCTGTGTGCGTCTCTCTGTGTGCGTCTCTCTCTGTGTGCGTCTCTCTCTGTGTGCGTCTCTCTGTGTGCGTCTCTCTCTGTGTGCGTCTCTCTCTGTGTGCGTCTCTCTGTGTGCGTCTCTCTCTGTGTGCGTCTCTCTGTGTGTGTCTCTCTCTGTGTGCGTCTCTCTGTGTGCGTCTCTCTCTGTGTGCGTCTCTCTGTGTGTGTCTCTCTCTGTGTGCGTCTCTCTGTACCTTCCTCTTCCTCTTGTGCAGGTCCCCCACAGAGTTGACCAGGGTGTTGGGCCCTAGGATGATGCGGGTGCTCCGGGGCCACTGGGTGCAGACCAGGGTGTGCTCCCCCAGGAGGATCTTGCGAATGTTCTCGGCCCCCGTGACCCGCACCACAGGCTTTCCCAAGAGGTGGGTCTTGAACACGTTGCCGTGACGACGCCTGCGGGAGATGTGGAAGTCGGAGCCCTGCAGACGAGACGCGACATCACAAACTATACACTCAAGAGATTGAGAAGAGTGTGTGTGTGTGCGTATGTGAGTGAGTGGGTGTGTGTGTGTGTGTGTGTGCGTGCGCATGTGAATGTGTGTGTGTGCATGTGAATGTGTGTGTGTGTGTGTGCGTGTGTGAGTGTGTGTGCGTGTGCACGTGAATGTGTGTGTGTGTGAGTGTGCGTCTGCATGTGAATGTGTGTGTGTGTGCGTGTGCATGTGCGTATATGAGTGTGCGTGTGCATGTGCGTATATGAGTGTGTGTGTGTGTGCGTGTGCGTGTGCATGTGAATGTGTGCGTGTACGTGTGCATGTGAATGTGCGTATGCGTGTGCGTGTGCGTTTGTGTGTGTGTGTGCGTGCGTGCGCGCGTGCGTGTGCGTGCGTGTGTGTGTGCGTGCGTGCGTGTGTGTGTGTGTGTTCTCTATTGAAAATTCTGACATTTTTTCAAATGTCGATGTTAAAGAAATTTTTTTTTGCTAAATCCACATTAGTCCAGCTGTAAATTAAATCATAATTTACTGAAGGAAAAAATACATACAAAAACACCCAAAAACCAGGAACATGTTGGACACACACACACACACACACACACGCACGCACGCACACACACACACACACAGGGGCAAACAGACAGGTGCAATACTAAAGAAGGGGGCAATCTTCAAGCTTTACTCTCTGACTATAAGCCGCGCCTGTGTATAAGCCTCATGTTTTCATGTTTAGCTTCATGACTCATTCAGGACTCATCAAACTCACTATTTTTCTTTGTTCTCAGAATTCCATAGATTTTAAAGGAATAGGCCTCCGTGTTTACAGACTGACACATGTTCTTACCTTAGACTGATATGTGTGGTCTGTGTCTGTGTCCGTGTCCGTGTCCGTGTCCGCGTCCGTGTCCGTGTCCGTGTCCGCGTCCGTGTCCGTGTCCGTGTCCGTGTCCGTGTCCGTGTCCGTGTCCGTGTCCGTGTCCGTGTCTGTGTCTGTGTCCGTGTCCGTGTCCGTGTCCGTGTCCGTGTCCGTGTCCGTGTCCGTGTCCGTGTCCGTGTCCGTGTCCGTGTCTGTGTCCGTGTCCGTGTCCGTGTCCGTGTGCTCTGTGTCTGTGTCTGTGTCCGTGTCTGTGTCTGTGTCTGTGTGCTCTGTGTCTGTGTCTGTGTCCGTGTCCGTGTCCGTGTCCGTGTCCGTGTGCTCTGTGTCTGTGTCTGTGTCCGTGTCTGTGTCTGTGTGCTCTGTGTCTGTGTCTGTGTCTGTGTCCGTGTCCGTGTCCGTGTCCGTGTCCGTGTCCGTGTCCGTGTCCGTGTGTCTGTGTCTGTGTCTGTGTCCGTGTCCGTGTGTCCGTGTCCGTGTCTGTGTCTGTGTCCGTGTCCGTGTCCGTGTCCGTGTCTGTGTCTGTGTCCGTGTCCGTGTCCGTGTCCGTGTCCGTGTCCGTGTCCGTGTCCGTGTCCGTGTCCGTGTCCGTGTCCGTGTCCGTGTGCTCTGTGTCTGTGTCTGTGTCTGTGTCTGTGTGTCTGTGTCTGTGTCTGTGTCCGTGTCCGTGTCCGTGTCCGTGTCCGTCGTCCGTGTCCGTGTCCGTGTCCGTGTCCGTGTCCGTGTCCGTGTCCGTGTCTGTGTCCGTGTCCGTGTCCGTGTCCGTGTCCGTGTCCGTGTCCGTGTCCGTGTCCGTGTCCGTGTCCGTGTCCGTGTCCGTGTCCGTGTCCGTGTCCGTGTGCTCTGTGTCTGTGTCTGTGTCTGTGTCTGTGTCCGTGTCCGTGTGCTCTGTGTCTGTGTCTGTGTCCGTGTCCGTGTCCGTGTCCGTGTGCTCTGTGTCTGTGTCTGTGTCCGTGTCCGTGTCTGTGTCTGTGTGCTCTGTGTCTGTGTCCGTGTCCGTGTCCGTGTCCGTGTGCTCTGTGTCTGTGTCCGTGTCCGTGTCCGTGTCTGTGTCTGTGTCTGTGTCTGTGTCCGTGTCCGTGTCCGTGTCTGTGTCTGTGTCTGTGTCTGTGTCTGTGTCCGTGTCCGTGTCCGTGTCCGTGTCCGTGTCCGTGTCCGTGTCCGTGTCCGTGTCCGTGTCCGTGTCCGTGTCTGTGTCCGTGTCCGTGTCCGTGTCCGTGTGCTCTGTGTCTGTGTCTGTGTCCGTGTCTGTGTCTGTGTCTGTGTGCTCTGTGTCTGTGTCTGTGTCCGTGTCCGTGTCCGTGTCCGTGTCCGTGTCCGTGTGCTCTGTGTCTGTGTCCGTGTCCGTGTCCGTGTCCGTGTCTGTGTCTGTGTCTGTGTCCGTGTCCGTGTCCGTGTCCGTGTCCGTGTCTGTGTCTGTGTCTGTGTCCGTGTCCGTGTCCGTGTCCGTGTCCGTGTCCGTGTCCGTGTCCGTGTCCGTGTCCGTGTCCGTGTCCGTGTGCTCTGTGTCTGTGTCTGTGTCTGTGTCTGTGTCTGTGTCTGTGTCTGTGTCCGTGTCCGTGTCCGTGTCCGTGTCCGTGTCCGTGTCCGTGTCCGTGTCCGTGTCCGTGTCCGTGTCCGTGTCCGTGTCTGTGTCTGTGTCCGTGTCCGTGTCCGTGTCCGTGTCCGTGTCCGTGTCCGTGTCCGTGTCCGTGTCCGTGTCCGTGTCTGTGTCCGTGTCCGTGTCCGTGTCCGTGTGCTCTGTGTCTGTGTCTGTGTCTGTGTCTGTGTCCGTGTCCGTGTGCTCTGTGTCTGTGTCTGTGTCTCGTGTCCGTGTCCGTGTCGTGTCTGTGCTCTGTGTCTGTGTCTGTGTCCGTGTCCGTGTCTGTGTCTGTGTGCTCTGTGTCTGTGTCCGTGTCCGTGTCTGTGTCTGTGTGCTCTGTGTCTGTGTCCGTGTCCGTGTCCGTGTCCGTGTGCTCTGTGTCTGTGTCCGTGTCCGTGTCTGTGTCTGTGTCTGTGTCCGTGTCCGTGTCCGTGTCTGTGTCTGTGTCTGTGTCTGTGTCTGTGTCCGTGTCCGTGTCCGTGTCCGTGTCCGTGTCCGTGTCCGTGTCCGTGTCCGTGTCCGTGTCCGTGTCCGTGTCCGTGTCCGTGTCCGTGTCCGTGTCCGTGTCCGTGTGCTCTGTGTCTGTGTCTGTGTCTGTGTCTGTGTCTGTGTCTGTGTCTGTGTCTGTGTCCGTGTCCGTGTCCGTGTCTGTGTCCGTGTCCGTGTCCGTGTCCGTGTCCGTGTCTGTGTCTGTGTCTGTGTCCGTGTCCGTGTCCGTGTCCGTGTCCGTGTCCGTGTCCGTGTCCGTGTCCGTGTCCGTGTCCGTGTCCGTCTGTGTGTCTGTGTCTGTGTCTGTGTCTGCTGTGTCTGTGTCTGTGTCTGTGTCCGTGTCCGTGTCCGTGTCCGTGTCCGTGTCCGTGTCCGTGTCCGTGTCCGTGTCCGTGTCCGTGTCCGTGTCCGTGTCCGTGTCTGTGTCTGTGTCTGTGTCCGTGTCCGTGTCCGTGTCCGTGTCCGTGTCCGTGTCCGTGTCCGTGTCCGTGTCCGTGTCCGTGTCCGTGTCCGTGTCCGTGTCGTGTCCGTGTCCGTGTCCGTGTCCGTGTGCTCTGTGTCTGTGTCTGTGTCTGTGTCTGTGTCCGTGTCGTGTCGTGTCGTGTGCTCTGTGTCTGTGTCTGTGTCCGTGTCCGTGTCCGTGTCCGTGTGCTCTGTGTCTGTGTCTGTGTCCGTGTCCGTGTCTGTGTCTGTGTGCTCTGTGTCTGTGTCCGTGTCCGTGTCTGTGTCTGTGTGTCTCTGTGTCTGTGTCCGTGTCCGTGTCCGTGTCCGTGTGCTCTGTGTCTGTGTCTGTGTCCGTGTCCGTGTCGTGTCTGTGTCTGTGTCTGTGTCTGTGTCCGTGTCCGTGTCCGTGTGTCTGTGTCTGTGTCTGTGTCTGTGTCTGTGTCGTGTCCGTGTCCGTGTCCGTGTCCGTGTCCGTGTCCGTGTCCGTGTCCGTGTCCGTGTGTCCGTGTCCGTGTCCGTGTCCGTGTCCGTGTCCGTGTCCGTGTGCTCTGTGTCTGTGTCTGTGTCTGTGTCTGTGTCTGTGTCTGTGTCTGTGTCTGTGTCCGTGTCCGTGTCCGTGTCCGTGTGCTCTGTGTCTGTGTCTGTGTCTGTGTCTGTGTCTGTGTCTGTGTCTGTGTCTGTGTCCGTGTCCGTGTCTGTGTCTGTGTGCTCTGTGTCTGTGTCCGTGTCCGTGTGCTCTGTGTCTGTGTCTGTGTCCGTGTCCGTGTCTGTGTCTGTGTGCTCTGTGTCTGTGTCTGTGTCCGTGTCCGTGTCTGTGTCCGTGTCCGTGTGCTCTGTCATGCAAACGCAGCACAAACACAGACTGTAAAACACTAACTCCTAAAGACTTCTCTACCGCTCACTTCCGTCAATAGAAGCAGCGTGACTTGTTGGAGTTAGTGCGCGGCGTAGTGCTCCTCGTATTATTACGCCTCACAATATAGTTCCCCTTTTTATCCGCTGAGAAAACCGACATGTTACATTTCTGTGTAACTATACTTTGTAGAGTAACACGTCACATAACTGTATTTAAAGGGAACACGTGGAAGAGTTTGGGAGCTTCTAACAGGAGCTGATTTGGAACTATACAGTCTGTGGAAGAGGCTGCTACAGACACAGACACAGACCAGACAGGTACATATCAGTCTAAGGTAAGAACATGTGTCAGTCTGTAAACACGGAGGCCTGTTCCTTTAATGTGAGCCGTCCAAATGACTGCTCTGCTTCTAGTGTAAAACGAGAGTATTTATCATGAGGTCGTTTTGATATTTCTCAAACACAGTAATGTTCTGAGCAACATCGTCGCTGTCGTGTCTGTGTTTCAGCCAAAAACGATCCACGTAGAGCATTGGCCTTTGAGCCTGAAGGGTGTGGGTTTCAAGCCCACCGCAAGACTTTCTCCACCAACTCCCACTGATGTCTGCAGTGGTTGTGTCCTTGGGCAAGACACTTTACCTACTTTGCCTTTAAGGACCAGGAATGATATCCTCTGCATGCCCAGATGTGTATCTGTGAATCCATCAAACTGAAACTTCCCCACTGTGGGACAAACATAGGACCTTCTTCTAGAAAATGAAACGGGGACAACCACTCTCTCAGTGGTCTCTCTCTCTGGTCTCTCTCTCTGGTCTCTCTCTCTGGTCTCTCTCTCTGGTCTCTCTCTGGTCTCTCTCTGGTCTCTCTCTGGTCTCTCTCTGGTCTCTCTCTCTGGTCTCTCTCTCTGGTCTCTCTCTCTGGTCTCTCTCTGGTCTCTCTCTGGTCTCTCTCTCTGGTCTCTCTCTGGTCTCTCTCAGTGGTCTCTCTCTGGTCTCTCTCTGGTCTCTCTCTGGTCTCTCTCTGGTCTCTCTCAGTGGTCTCTCTCTGGTCTCTCTCTGGTCTCTCTCTTGTCTCTCTCTGGTCTCTCTCTGGTCTCTCTCTGGTCTCTCTCTGGTCTCTCTCTCTGGTCTCTCTCTGGTCTCTCTCTTGTCTCTCTCTGGTCTCTCTCTGGTCTCTCTCTGGTCTCTCTCTGGTCTCTCTCTGGTCTCTCTCAGTGGTCTCTCTCTGGTCTCTCTCTGGTCTCTCTCTTGTCTCTCTCTGGTCTCTCTCTGGTCTCTCTCTCTGGTCTCTCTCTGGTCTCTCTCTTGTCTCTCTCTTGTCTCTCTCTGGTCTCTCTCTGGTCTCTCTCTGGTCCCTCAAAATCAAAAGTGGGAACAGGAATCTCTTACAAGAATTCAAGGGTCTTTCTGTTGGACAAACGTTTTTTTCTGCACCCATCCATCCATTTTCTTCCCTTTAATCCATTTCTGGGTCAGGGGGGTGGCAGTCAGAGATGCCACCCAAGTCTCATAGCACCAGCCCCTCACTGACCCTCTGCAGGTGGTGAGTCCACAGGAGGACGGCTGCTCTCTGAGTGTGAGCATAGCCTTGATCTTTCAGTGGGGGCTTTGGGCAAAGTGGGGTTAAGTGTCTTGCCCAAGGACACAACGACAGCAGTCATCAGTGGGAGTCGGTGGAGAAGGTGTAGAGGTGGGAATTGAACCCACAACCTTCTGGCCTTAAGGCCAATGCTCTACCAACTGAGCTACTGTCGCAAAAAAAACTGTCGTTTTTTTCTGCAGATAATGAGTAATATTTTCTACCTCCGGGTGGACCATCAAGACTTTTGGTCCTCGTTCTGGTGATAGTTTGGTTCAAAAAGTGGAGAGGGCGGTTCTTTCCTAACATTTGTGATAATCCTCGTCTAAACCTTTAAGTAATATCTAAATCCGAGAACAGACTGTGGTCCAAAGTAAAAATGTTGCAGTTGTTTCAGTTCAGTTGTGGAGCTTCAGTCGTTGTTGATCTAGAACTAGGTCCAAAAATAAACAAAGGCAAATATTTCTTTTGAGGTTTTGGGAAAATCAACGAATTGTATGAACTTGTGATGATTGTAAATAATTTTATCCCTCAGAAGTTGCAGAATTAGGGCGTTAAAAACCTTTGAGGTCATAAAATAAAGATGTACCGTATTTCTCTAAGACACAGGCTCCAATCTTTAGAAAGACATAGATTTGTTTACGTGTACAAGCCACACTGGACTATAAGCCGCACCTGCCCCACATTGTCTTTATTGTGTCGTTTTATTACTGTGGGTGATAAAAGTAAGAAGTGTATCCCTGTTTTTAATCTTCAGTGTGAAGCAGAAAGAAACATGTCTGAACAGGACTTTAAACCTTTTTTAATCATTTCATTGGACGTCTGTGAACAACTCACCAATTCTGGAGGTCGACTGTTGTTTGAAAACGTTTTTGGCAACAACGGAGAAATAAATATATGAATAAAATACAATAAAGCCACACCTCACTGTAAGCCGTACCTTACTATAAGCCGCACCTTTCTATAAGCTGCACCTTTCTATAAGCCGTACCTTGCTATAAGTCGCACCTTACTATAAGCCGCACCTTACTATAAGCCGCACCGTACTATAAGCCGCACCTTACTATAAGCCGCACCTTACAATAAGCCGCACCTTTCTATAAGTTGCACCGTACTATAAGCCGTACCTTACTATAAGCCGCACCTTACTATAAGATTCAGATTCAGATTCAGTTTATTTGCTATTTGCAGTAAAACCACATTGGAATACATTAGCAAAAGTCTCCAGTGTGCACAGACAAATACAGACATAAAACAACATTAAAAGACAAAAATAAAACAAATAAAACAGTAAACAAATGTCACTGTGAAATGGATCGACTAAAACAGTTTCAAAACAAGTGCAAATCATTAAAGTGCTCTGTTCACACTGATAACAGCCTGTGGATAAAAACTGTTAGAGTAATGAGATTTGCACGTTACTATAAATTGTACCTTACTATAAGCTGCACCTTACTTTTAGCCGCACCTTACAATAAGCCACACCTTCCTATAAGTTGCACCTTACTATAAGCCTCAGCCTTCAAAATGCAGGAAAAAAGCCACAACTTTTAATCTGAAGAATCCAGTATAAGTTACTTGTTGTTCTCTGGGAGCGTCTGTGATTAAAGCTGAGGCAGATACAGATAAACTGTACCTTTGCTTCTACTTTCAGGGAAAAATCAGTGATTCCAGAAATTCTTCATGGAATTCTGACGTGTCCTAGTGAGTTGTGTCAGCATGGATGGAGCTAAACACGGAAACACTTAGTCTCTCCTTCCTGCTGTCAGACTGTACAACGAACAATGAGAACAAACAAACACACATACCACAGGATATTTCTGAGTTAGAATA